CAGTCTAGGGAGTTAGGTGGCCAGATGTAAGATGTGATGTGATGTCACAGAAATTCTCTGACAGCCTTGACTATGTTCTACTGCTTGTGTGGCATGGTGCAGAATCCTATTAGCAGACATACGGTCTTCAAGCAGCTACCCTCTTGACCCAGAGCAGCACTACCTCTTCAAAGCAGTTGATGTAGGCCTCCCTCTTAAATATGATCAGGATAAGATACGATACGGCAACACATTAATTCAGAATTTCAGGCACAACTCAAATGAATGCATTTTGATCAATGTTTATAAAAATAGTTTAATATATTTTACTTGATCTTAATATTATACCAGTAATGCTTATCTGATATTATTTATAGAAATTAAAGTATAAGACTGGGTACCTTCAAAGATTTTCTAAAGAGGAGCATACCATGCTGAAAATGGCGCTAAACTTAGCAAAAACAAAGTTTTTCGTCAAAATGTTTGTTATTATTAAGATGGTTATTAAGAGCAATAAGGCAATAATAATTTTTGATTATTTTATTAAATTTTTTCTTCCTTTCCAGCACGTTCGAAATTTTGGTTAAAAGCGGTTGGGCCAAAAGATAAGTACCTCGGTTTACGAATTCACTCCATTCCTGAAACCTGTTCGTAACCCGAAATGTTCATAAACCGATGCTATTTTTCCAATAGGAATCAATGTAAAATGGATTAATCCGTTCCTGGTCCCGAGATGATTGCTTACTTAAACTTTAACAGTACTTTGTGCACAAGTTTATACACAAAACTAATGAAAATCATTAAATCTAAGAAAAGTAGTATATTATTAAATCCAAGAAAAACAGTTTAGTATTAGGTTTATTTAACCAAATACTAAACACTTAAAATATAGCCGAACACTTCTACTTCGATTTTACCGTACCTGTATGTAAGAGAGTTGATGGCATAAGTGGAAGGGGAAGGAAAGAGATGTTATTCTTTGGAAAAGGGAAGGAAAGTCATGATCTCTTTATTTATAAGAATAGTACAGATCGTTGATTTTGCCATATGAACCTGAGTAGGAAGAGACAATATCATCATCATAGAGACAATATCATCAACAATTGTTTTTCTTTTAACTTTTTCCTTTACCAGTGTCACTGTTAGCCTTCTTTGGATCCATGACTGAGGACTAACAAAGAGAAAAAAATGGCACAGTACAATAAAATAGGGAAAGAAAAGCACAGCACAACACACGAATGTATACAACACGACAGTCGACTAAGAAATGATTCCGTTCTCGGTTCGGCTCGGTTTGGCAATGTTGTTCGAGAACAACCCAGAATCACCCAGTATATACATATACTACTGCTAAGTGAAGACCCGAGTCAGAGCGAGACAGACCGAAGAGGGAGAGTAAATGGTCGAAGGTAACAGACAGAACGAACGTAACCAGCAAGAGTCACAGTGAGCGTAGCACGTAGATTCAGTAAGAAGTCATACAGCGATACTTCATTACCAAAGACTGTATAGATATTTTGCTACTAACCCGTATTCCTGGAACTACTAACCTGCCTTACCAGTTTGTATTATTACGTTAATACATTATTTTCCTATATTCATTCTTGGCGTTTGTTATTTATTGGTACCGGATTTCATCCCGAAATCTGCAACAAATACTTTGTACGAAAACCGATTTGTTCGACACGTGAGACGTTCGAGAACCGAAGTTACACTGTATAGGAATATTTAATGTCTTTTTGATGTTAAAAACACATTGTTTTGGAAATTCTTGCAAAAGTAAAAAAATTGTCGGATTTTAATGAAATTTTCAGGACATATTGAAATTTTCTTTTTTTAGAAAATCTTAGTAAAAATATGATTTTTTACATCTTACCTAAAAAATTTTTGAAATTTCAAGAAATTAAAATTTCAGACACTTCATATATATATATTAGTTAAAAGCAGGACTCCTCGTAGAATTTAAATCATTAATTTGTTTTTGTCAAACAGAAACACCATTTACCGAAAATCTGATCAGAATCGTAAAATATAAAAATGCAATAAAACTATAAGATTATTTAAGTTTTTAATTGCTTTTGTAAATAACATATATTCAGGGCACCGTTGTCTTAAGAAAAAACAAAAAAAATTCGATGAATAATGAATTTTTTATAAGCAAAAAAGAATTTAGAAATTTTTTGTATATGTAAGTACGGAAGACTATACATAACATTATCAAAAAATAATAACGATAACTATAGTAAATTGAAAGTCTAAAATTCAATAAAACATTAAATTGCGGAGAATATTATCCGAAATTATTACGCTTACTGAGTAAAATTATTATAAAAAAGGCGCTCTCACCATTTTCTTCAAATATGTCTTACAGATAAAGTCTCTGTAGAACAAAGTTAGACCTGTCATCGGGTTGTCAACACGTCAAAACATCTACTGTCGGATTAAATAGCAGCTATTGACGGATTAACAAACTTATGCGATATTTTTCATTTAAAGTAAACAATTGATTCAATCAGATTAAATGAGTTAATATTCCTGAAATAAAGTTTCAGAAAATTATATTTTATTTTTGGAAGATTTTTAATAAAGAGAATTACATTGCGTTGAAAGACGACTGAAAAAAGACGCTAATCAGCTATTTTAGCAAAAAACTGCTTTCAGTCAATTTAAATTTGTTTTTGAAATACAGCAAATTAGTTTGCTTATCGGAAATATTAAATATAATCTATTAGCTTGAAATTAAAACAATATTTTTCATTTTAAAAATTAGGTATCACGGATTTTTTTTTGGGGGGGGGGTTCCTTTTTAAGTCTAATATGAATTAATGGTTTCTAAAAAGAATCCGGTTTTAGATATAGTTTTTAAAATGTTCGGTATTAATTATTTGTTTCTAAAAAGCCCGTATTAATTATTGTTTTATAAAAATCCCGTATTAGTTATAGGTTTCTAACTATAACCTATTAATGACCACTGCCCTCCCCGCCTTCCACCTCCAAAATGGGAAGCATTAATAGAATAATTTACGTTATATCTGAATGCGCCAACAAAGAAGAGACAACCATTCTTTCTTCTTTTAGATCTATTTCGATTTAGCTAACTTATTAAACTTTCACAGTTGCATTGTTTGAATATTGTACTGGACCGTTTTGCAACAAACAAGAAATTGTCTTTTACTTCAAAAAAATAATTTCTCATGGGCGCTGCAATTTAGTCTCGATCGGATACTTCTCTGTACAAGCTAAGCTAAATGATTCCCCAACACAATATGTCACAAAATAGTTTTTATTTTACGCTACTGTATTTTCTAATAGGGTTCAGAATAACACAAAACGTTAGTAAGTTTACAACTCAAAAGCTAGGAACGAATATTTAGCAGTGACTTGAAAACGTTTACCTACATCAACAGCAGATAATGTAAGTCGAATAAGCACATATTGAAATCGTATATTTACGCACGGTAGAGTAATGGATAGAGGCTAGGATTGAGGAATCGGAGAGTCGAGTTCGAAATCCAGTCGAATCCATTACATTCACTTACATGCTAATACTTTCCCAAGGGTATTAACACGGAAAGTTATGCATCCTCACTCCTCTCCCCCATCAGCTATAGATAAATAGCAGGACAGACCGGGTTCTTTAGCCTTGGACGGCAACTGGCCTACCGCAGAAAAAAATGGCAACCTACTGCGGGAAAAAATCTGTCTCGTCAGTCATGTACCGAAAGGTGCATGATCGCCTAAGCGTATATCATGCCATGCGTGATACACGCTTAGGAGATCATGTCACATAACTGACTGATGTATACGTTGACAGCAGCCAATGTAAATTAGGACTGAACACATGACGAAAAAGCTAGAAGAAAAGAACGCAACTAAAATGAAATGAAGAGAATAATGAGCGTGTGAAATGAATGGACAGTCAAATTAGCAACGAAAGAGAAGTATATTAGGCGGCCATGGCACATGACTGATATATACGTTGACAGTAGCCAATGTAAATTTTGTAATGACGTATATGTAACCCTTGAAAATGTATATGTACGTTAACAGCAGTCAAATGAATTTTCTTAAAGTCGTATAAGTACATCCACAGCAGAAAAAGTTTTAAGTCTAGCGGAGTATTCGTCGGGTCGTGTTCATTTTACATTTGACATTTGTAAAAGGTTTTCCTCATTAATGAGATCTTGCCTGAAAGAAAAGCACATTTGATATCACGAAGCAAGATTTAATTTTTTAAAGGTTTATTAACCCTTTGTGAATTATTTAAACATTTTGGACGGTAAGAATTATTCTTTTGTTTGTTTTTGTGAGTAAATATTCCATTAACATCACCTTTAGAATAACAATTATTTTTCCAGATACAATCCGAATATTTACAACTTATCTGATGAAGAAGAGGGAAAAATCTAAATATTTTGAACACAAATTTATGGCTTCAACTAAATATATTTTGAACGCAGTTGTATGCCTTCAACTACAGATAAAATATATTGTTGCTCATTTTGCTTTAAAAATGTATTGTATTGTTGATAATTTTACTATAAATAGGTATTGTTGGTAATTTTTATATAAAAATGTATTGCTTGTATTTTTACTATAAAAATGTATTTTTATACTTTCATAAGATTTTGGTATTGTTTGGGTGTTCACTATTTGCCCATAGCTGGGAACTTAACAAGTGATACCACCCCGGGTCAGGGTAAAACTGGGAGCAACAGTAATTAGGAGATGGTTCCACGTTACTCAAAACCTCCAATCTCCCAATCAAGGTCCTTGCAGTCGGATGTATTTTATCGTCATACCCAGGACTGAACGAATGACGAAAAAGAAAGAAGGAAATAAATAATTACAAAGAACGTAACTAAAAAAAAAAAAAGAGAAAAATGAGCGTGTGAGATGAATGGACTGTCAAATTAGCAAAGAAAGAGAAAAAAGAAAGAAAGAATGGAAGATAGATATGAAAGAATGAAAAAAATGAAAAGCGAAGCACACAAAGGAATAAAAAAGACAGAAAGAAAGAATCAAAGTAAAAAAGAAAAAGAAAAAGAAAAAGAAAAAGAAAAAGAGATATTATGAGAGAAGGAACGAATAAAAAAGGAAAATAAAGAAAAATTATGAGAGAAAGACAGAATAAAATAAGCATAAAAGAAAAAGGAAGAATGAATGAAAAAGGTTATTAAAAAAGAAAGAAAGAAAGAAAGAAAGAAAAAAGAGAAAGATCGGAAAGAAGAAAAAGAAACAAAAGGAAAGAAAGGGAAAAAGAATGATTGAATGATGAAAAAGATAACTTGAAAAAGAAAACACGCAATGAAAGACGAAAAAGAATGAAGGAAAAATAGTGACAAAAGAAGCAACAAAAACTGGAGAGATGAAAGAGTGTGTGAATAAATAGATAAATGAAGAGTTAAATTAACAAAAAAAAAAAAAAGAGAGAAAAAGAGAAAAAAAAGGATGAAAATAAAATATGAACGAATAAAAAAAATACAAAAAGCAACGAAGGAACCAAGAAAAAAAGAAAGAAAGAAAAAAGTAGAGCAAAACTGAATGAAAGAGACGAGAGAAAAAAAATGAATGGAAAAGGAAAAGAAAGAAAGAAAAAAACTACGAGAGAAAGAAAGAATAAAATAAGCGTAAAAGAAAAAGGAAGAATGAATGGAAAACATATTATGAAAGAAGGAAGCAAAGATGCATTTTGAAAAAAAAATAACAGTCAAAGAAGGAAAACAAATGAAAGATGAAAAAAAAAAGGTTGGAAGAAAGACAGATATGATGGTTGATCTAGATAAAGAAGCAACTTCTTTAATAGATATGAACAAAAAAGAAAAGAAAAGAAAGAAAACGGATAGAACAAAATACAAAAAATGCCAAACAATTAAATTCGTAAGATAAAGGAAACCTCAAAGAGGTAAAAAAAATTATAATGATATTCCTGATATTAACGAGACGAAGATGCCTCGTGTTAAAGAACCGAGAAAACTTTAAATACTGTGAGTCTAAGAGATCGATCGACAAACGGAAAAGAATAAAAAAAGAGAGGCCAATAATAAGAGAAAGTTCAATCAAGCAAAAGAAGGATGAGTAAGAGAAAGAGAGAGACAGAGAGAGAGAAAGAAAGAGAGAGTGTGAGAGAGAGATTTGACAAAGAGCAAGATTGAGAAAGTGAGAGGAGATAATAGTTGGAGGACATTTTTTTTTAATCACCCTCTCTATCTATCGTTTCATCTCCATTCGTCCTTTCTTCCCACCCCCAAGCGTGAGTCACGTCGATGGTAATCAAGACAACATCAAACAACGCCGACACCTTCAAACAGCTTTGATGACGTCAGTTCCCAGATCCAACCTTTGTTGTCGACACACGTCTTGTTTTCTTTTAGCGAGTTTTCAACCACTAACATACACCCTTCTCTGCGACTATTATTCAAGTAAACTTCTACGTCCTTTCTTTCCGATTTCATGTTATATATATATATATATATATATATATATATATATATAGTTGTGTGTCTGTGTGTTCTTACATCAATAAGACCGCTTTTCGTTTAATCACAAAGATCGAATATAGAAAGTTAAAATTTCAAAGCAAAAATTACGCTTCAATTTACGGACTTATTGACCCATCATCGTTATATATATATATATATATATATATATATATATATATATATATATATATATATTATTATTATTATTATTATTATTATTATTATTGAGAGAGACGGGAGAGAGGGAGCAGATGTGCTTCAGAAACCACAGAAAGGTGGGAAAGAGGCGTGAACTAAGCATAATTTATGGGTATCGAAATAAATCCAAAGCAGTTTTAAATTCCAGTTTTGTTTGTTTTTGCTTCCCGCTATAACGCCTAGGAAAGGCATAAATCTACTGATCCCTGAAAAAGGTCTTCGTCGCTACTTGTTCATCAAGGTTAAACAAAAAAAAATCTGTTTTCTTTTTAATTCATTTTGTTATTCAATAATGTGACTGGCGTGCCTAGTTCAAATACAGTGTAACCCGGATATAAGAGAGTTGTCGGGACCGGAGAAGAAGTCTCTTATATCCGGGTTTCTCTTATATCCGGGTTTGGTCTATTTTATATACATTAACACAGTCTCTCATGTGGGATCAGAGAAAAACTCTCTTATATCCGGGTTTCTCTTATATCCGGGTCTCTTATATCCGGGTTTCTCTTATATCCGAGTCTCTTATATCCGGGTTACACTGTAAAAGCAATAGTTTCGCATCAAAACTCTTCGAAAAGATGTGAAACTATCTCTTCTTCTCCTACCAGCTATGATTAATAGCAGAGCATATGCTCTCTATCTTATATCGGCAACAAATCTAGGATAAAGATTATTTTCCTCTCAGGGAGGTCTATGGAGGTCGTCGTTAACGGCCCGTCCTCTGAGGCACATCAGATCAATGCTGGCGGCTCTGAAGACTCTCACCTTGGTTCTACACTATTTCTGCTTTATATCAACGGTATGTCCACAAGAACACTCTCAGATCCGTGGTAAATATATATGCAGATAACAGCACAGTATATTTAAAATATCTTGACCAGATCCTGGATGCTGATCTCTTCTCTAACCTAAGTCTCACAGTTCAATGGAGAAAAGACTGGCTGATATCACTCAGCGCATCCGAAACTAAACTAATTATATTTCATCTAGCATCGAGTAGACGTGAAACCTGCACCAATCCTGATAAGTGGTCATACCTTCAACGTGACTCCTTTCCTCGAATGCCTTCTGTGTTTAAAACTCACTCCCGACCTCAAGTAGAACGCGTATACCGTATACACACGAGTATAGTACGAGGTTTTATGATCACATTTTACGCAACAAATGTGGGTTTGTTTTATACACAAGTAATTTTTTTGAAACGGTTACAAATTTGCATTTTCGGTGACCAGTTGCAAAATCGCAGGTAATCTTTTTTCTGGATGGGTTAAAATTGCAAAAGAAATTCAGAGGTCGCACTATACCGGTTGCAGCAGCAAGATTGTCCAAACAGTGTAACAGCATAATTATCCATCCTACAAAATATTTAAAAACCACTAAACAAATTGAGATTTTTTTCCAGGTTTTCGGATAAGGGCGTTTAGCCATCTTTACACTATTTTTCGTAAAAATCACAAAAAACCCTTTGTGTTATTCAGCTAGAAAGAGAACATGTTAAAATTCGTTTGTATCAGCCCTACTGTTTTCGCAAATGAGCAATGTTACGAGGAAAAAGATCATTCAGGTCTTCAGTGATGGTACCAATATTCATATTCTGGCTTCAATCTTTAAAGTCCATTCAAGAACATTCAAGAAAACGGTGAATAATTTTTTTTTTTTAATGAGAGAACAGTAGAGAGGAAAACTGGAGCAGAATGTCATAACAGTAAGAAGGTTCTTCATTTCAACTTCGAGCTAAGGAGATCAATTAGAAAAGGTCCAAGAGAGAGGAGTTACACCTATGTAACTCCAACAAACAGTGAAAAAAATGTCTTGAAAATGAAATCGTACGTGAAACATGTGAGGCAAATTTGTTACTCCAGGACAGAAAGTTAGAAGGTTAAAGAGGGCAAAGATCATCTTGAATAAGTTGGAAAATGATCCTGGAATAATACATTTGAACTTAATTTCAATCCTTTATGAGCTTCCGATCCTTAGCTATAATTAATTAATGATGAACATGTAATTTTTTGTTTATGATCAATTTCATCATAATTCTTCTGTTGAGCTTAGAGAGTAATTATAGATTCTTATTACGCAAAGTAGAGTCCAACAGTGTTAAAAAAAAGCCCGAAGAATTCTAATGAGATATCTTTAATCATTCCTAAGATACAACGGTTCAAGTCTTAATCTGACAAATGGACAATTTAGCTTTTACACGATTTGGACAATTTTGCTGTTACAACCGGTACATCAAATCGGATTATGCAGGATTATATACGGTAATCGTGCCGTCGCAAAAGATGCTTAAAGTATGATCGACTCATTGTATTGCTCCAGAAAATACCTAGCTTCTGCTTCCATAATCTTTATAAGTGTCAAATCCGACCAAGTGTATTGCAGTCATCTCTGGATCGATTCTCCTCACTGTCCAGCTTTGACAAAAGCGCTTACGCCACCTTTTGGATGATGAATTATGCTACACACTGCAACCTTCAATACAATTATTATGGCAGATGTTCTGACCATTTATATTCCTTAGTTCCATCAGTTTAGGCCTTCGCAGCTAGGAATTGCCATGCCATGTTCACTGTGGAAAACCTGGCGAGTATTTTATGTTTTAAGACAAGTGACATTCGTATTTTTGCGGGTATGAATAAATTGACATTTATACTAAACTAGCAGTAGAGCCCGGCGTTGCCCGGGGATGTAACAGTAAGAGTTAGATCAAGTATCGACCATCATAAAGACTGAAAATAAAATTGACAAAGATTATTGTTTAAGGTTGACGGACACGCATGTCTTAATTAGTATTTTTTTTTTTTTTTTTTTTTTTTTACGAATTGGTCAAACCCAAACTCAAACAAAAGCATTGTTTTCAATCGTTATGAGTCTACCGATTGAATAGAATTTTATTATAAACAATTGTCTTGTAAATGGAATTTTTTTAAAGCATTCTGAATGTAAAAATAAAAGAAAAAAAGTGTGCAAGACAATAAAAACACTACCTGCCAAAAAAAAAGGAAGTTTTGTTGAAATCGGTTGAAAAATGTAGGAAATCCGATCCCATATATAAACGAACACACAAAACAACCTGGGTTTTATAATAAGTATAACTCGATATGAGTTGTCCCCCTTTCATTCTGGCGACAGAATTGTGTTTTATCATGCTTTCAAATTGATTTCGTGCAAAAACAATTGTGTTTTTCCAATTTTGGCGCTGTCAGAACCACCACCAAGGTAATTTTACGCAGTCCTGTGAAGTTTTGTTGAAATCGGTTGAAAAATGTAGGAAATCCGATCCAATATATAAACGTACACACACACACACACACACACACACACAATCTGAGTTTTATAATAAGTAAGATTATTTGATTAATTACTCGTACTAATTAATAAACTAACAGAAAAGTCTTAAGATGAGCACTTCCCCATCATGTTACTTAAATTGCATTCCATTCACGCTGATTGCGTTGCATTCGTTTTGTCGCGATGATTGCCACTACAACAGCTTTTCTCAAGACAGGCAACGTTCATACAAAGATTTATATATATTTTTATATATTTTTTAAAACTTGTATGGAATTTTCAACATAACTTGAAGACAGACAGACATTCTGTCGAAATAATGCTAGGCATCGTTAAACGTTGTTAAACACTATCTTTTCTTTTCTTTAATCACACTCTACTTTAAATGTTTAAAAATATTGCAAGAGTTAGATCAATGATTCTGTTTATTATTATTATTATTATTATTATTATTATAAAATTGGTGCAAACCCAATATTGATTATGTTGTCAACATATTGGTATTATTGACCACTTACTGTCTGGTTGTTCAAACTTGACATTAAAGAAATACAAAGATCGAATAGATAAGACGGGACAGTATATTCATTTGGCGATATTTCAATATTACCGTGGGCCACAAAAACAAAACAGTATGAACATCATGGCTAATCGATCATAGAAGATCGTGACGGCACTATTCTTTGGGACTTTACCATTCAGTCAAGCTGGCAAATAAACAGTAATAGACTAAACATGGTTATGAAACACTACAAAGAAAAATTTTTTTCATTGATATGGCAGCGCCACTAGATAAAGATCTATCTGTTAAAGAATACGAGATAAGTAAATGGAGTGATCTTGAAATTAAAAAAAAGACAATGTAGTGTCATGATATAACCTGTATTAATTGGAAGGATGGGTAACAAAAAGTACATACAAGAACTTTAGCAAGGTCCTTGGAAGTCCATTTTGGCAAGAGATTCAAAGCATTGAACAACATGGGAAAACATACGTTAAAAATATTGTTACTGGAATCACTATATACGTTAGGCATTACATAACATCAGCATTTGTGCAAACAGAATGCATAGATTTATTAAATTGCTTTAAATGGAGCATGGGGTACCGACCCGGCAAGGTACTGCAATGGATAGAAAGCAAAACAAGATATAACAACAACAACAATAACAATAAGAAGAAGAAGAAAAAGAAAAGGAGAAGAGGGGAAAAGGTCATATACCTTTAGTTCAATTGAAGAGGCAGACAAACGGCATTCATGTTACAAACACAGGACACACGAAACAGATGAAGAAAAAGGAAAATAATAAAATGGAAAAAAGAAAACAAAAAATGGAGAAGAAACAGAAAAGGAAACAAAAGAAAAAGAAAGAGCAAAATAAAAAAAAAGAAACAAAAGAAGAAGTAGAAGAAGAATTTGTTTATTA